TGACTGGGTAGGTGTGGCCAACTCAACATCACTCATGTCGAATGGCACTTCGCCTTAGTTATTACAATGGTAATAAGGGTTAACCGGAGAGGGGTGTTTCTGTAAGCAGGACAATAAAGATTAGGCTAGAAACAACACCAGAATGCTTCCTTCCTGCCTTCCTTACAGGATTAGCCCTGTAAAGTGGGAAAAAACAAAAGATTTCTTCCAAAAACTGGTTCTCCGAACTACTTAGAAAGTTACCAACCGGTTCTCCCGAATAGGTGCGAACTGACTGAATCCCACCACTGGCTGTGAGTTGTCAAGCCACAGTTATTTAATGCAATCCGGAATGAAACAATTCAGCCAGTGCTTTGATCTGAGCTTAAAAAGTGCACCTTTTTAGAGAATTAGGAAGCCTCAAATTAATTTGGAGAAAGAGCTCCCAGTAACCTTACCTGAACTCTATGTAATTTTTTGCAAAATTGGGGAAGAAAAAAACTTTGGTTTGTCTCAGTGTTATCTCAGGCTTTCCTTTGTACAGTAGCAGGAAGGTTTGATAGCATTTGTGAATGCATCGGTAGATCCAAAGTATTGCTTTAGTTGATACTATTCTACTCATACAGTGCGTTGAAAAGAATAAATATACGAGAAGTTCCACTTTCATATTTATATTGGAGAAGCCTTCCTTCAGGTTGCCATAAATCATGATTCTTCCACATGGCATGCAGATTCTGACTCCATAATTGGCAGGTTGAAAATTGCAAAACATTTCCTTTCATGTTCTCTCACGTTGCAGTCATAGAAACTGCGTGTTGCATTAAGCATCTCAATTCATTATTCCATTTCAAAGCAACATTTTGGATTACCAGAACTAGTTGATGGAATGACTTACATGGAACTATATTTGTAGGGAATATAATACCCAAAATTATTTAAGTGATTCAACGGCTTAGAATATATTTTTTTTAAAAAAACCTTGATTTTAACCTTGTTAGTCTTTTAATATCATAAAATGAATACTAATAATCTTGTGTTACTAGCAAGTTCCATAATGTTTGTTTTAACAGCCATTCTAACAGTATCTCTATTAAGTTATTTATATAGCAATCCTAATTAAGGAATTGGTGAAAGGGAATCTCCCTGAATAGTCTTATGAATGAGTCTTATGAATAGTCTTATAAATCAGGTTTGGAAATAGGTGTGGATAGATTAAGGAGCTGATTTGAGCTACTAAGAAAAGGTGCAACAGCTTAAAAAATTAGAGACAGGTGCTACATTTCTGTATCCTGTGATCTGAATCACTTTTTGGAATTAATCTGAAACATGATTAGATAGTCCCGTAATGTGCTATCCATATCTTTAACATAATGTGTTTTTCCCTAGCTTCCAGCAAAGTGCTATCATTCTTTAACAAGGACACAAGAGGAGAAATTCAGACCGTAGCATTTGAAGGTGACGAAATAAAGAAACTCTTTTACGGAAGTTTTCACAAGGTAAACTCATCTTCTGTAGATTATAATGAATAAGAAAGTATTTTGAAAGCAAAGAAAGCCACTCTGGTAGTCAATAGATATAGAGAGACAAAAATAATGTATAGATAATTTTAAAGCAAGTAATATTTTCAATTAATTGGTTTGAATGCATACTGAAATATCTTATGCAATGCTCAAGTTTACTCTGAAACAAATCCCGTGCTATTTAAAGGCTATATTAATTAGTCCTTGCTTATCAACCATTCATTCAGTGAATGTTTGAAGTTACAATGGCATTGAAAAAGGAAACCTGCAACTGTATTATGGCTGTTGCAGAGTCCATGTGGTCACATGACCACAATTCAGGTCCTTGGCAGCTGGCATGCATTTATAGTAGTTGCAGCAGCCCATAATCACATGATCATCCTTAGTGACCTTCACGGCTGGCTTTCAACAAGCAAAGTTAATGAGGAAGCTGGCAGAAAGTCAAAACTTGTGGTCATGTGACATTGCACTTAATTACAATGGGTTATTTGCTTGATGATTGCAACCAGGATTACCATTATAAGATGACACGGTCATAGATGTTTCATTTTATGATTGTGTGACTTAGCAACAGAGTTTCCCGTTCCGATAGCAGTTGGTAAGTGAGGACACTCACTTGCACTCAAAAATAGCATGCCTAAATGGTAAACGCAACAATATACATTTGCTTACCAGTAAGTCATTAATATTTCCTTATATATGGTATTGGATGGCTAATCTCTGATCATGTTTGAAAATAAGAGAAAGATTTCAGAGCTGTTTTAAATTACACAGATCAGCATCCTTATCTCAGATTTCATGTATTCTGGTTATTATTAGCACAACTCAGCACATTGTCTTAATTTGTTGTTTAACCACTTAAGTATTTATTCAATTGAACCATTGGACAATATGTAGCAAAAACTAAAATATACATTCATACTAATATACATACTATGGTGAAACTACTCAATGATAAGCAGGTTTTTATCCATATGTCATTACCCGATTCCAGTCCCGTGTGCACACGGAGCTTATACATTTGCATTATTTCTATTTTTTTGAAGGCAAGTACAGAGCCATCTCTGAAAGGAAATAAAAGTTGTTATGGGAGTGTTGTGAACCAGGACGACAGCTCTGTTTGAAGCAGAGTGGCAGAAGCAGAGAATCGTAGACGGTCTCTAAGAATTTGTTTATCACAATTCTGCAGATGAATGAATTCTGCCGGAATATCTTGCCAGAGTATAATGCAGTGTTAATTCAGTGCATTGCATTTCCATTCACTGAAAAATAGCTAACTTGGCTCTTTGCGAAATATTTGCTTTGGCATACTATTTTGAGTTTTGGCTACAATGAAATTTAGGGGAAAAGGTTGGCCTAGTTAACATCTTGTCAAGGAACTCTTATAGAAACAGATGTTTTATGTTTGTTGATTTGCCGTTAATGGGCCAAATATACATGGCAAGAGTCTTCTTTTAATGGAGGACTAGTAAAAGAGGTAGCTGATTAACCTTGGAAACCAGATGATAATTTAGTAAAAGGGAAGTTTTAACGTGTCTTGACACTTTTTGCCTTAATTATTTCAAAAGGAAAAGGGGAAAAGTGGTAGACTAGTTTTTTAGTCTAGGTGCTATTTTCATGCCTGCCAAATCAGCTTTGTCTGTCCCACGACTATTCTCACCTGTCTTTGTTAGGAATATACTTTTTAAAATTCTTATATAATTGGCCTTGTGTACTACCAGAGAGATTGAGAATAAATGAAATGAGTTGAGTTCCAGATCTCATGAGATTTGCAGATCCTCAGCAATGGATCCATCCTGGTTTTGTTGCTATTGTTTGTTGTTACAGAGCAAATGAAAGAGTTTGTGGCTCGTGCTTAGGAGTCATCCTTAAATTTAGAAAACCTTCTCCAGTCCTTGTCATAATTTTCATACCCAGCTGTTTATTCTCTTCTATTTACTATTTGATGGCAGTATTTTTACAGGATAACAAACTAGTCCACAAACCCAATTCAAAGAAGCTTCAGTTATATGCTATTCCCTCTGTGTGTATGCATGCGCATGTGTTCGTTTTTAGCAAACTTTAAGCTAAAAAAACAGTCTTCTTCACTTCATCTGCTCTGTTCAGTTCAAGTTGAAGTTGTTCAGCAATTAATCATTAGCCTATAGCAGAAGATCAGTGGTGGGTTTCAAAATTTGTTGGAACCTACTCTGTGGGTGTGGCCTCCTTTGTGGGAGTGGCTTGCCAGCCATGTGTTTTCTCTCTCTCCCCCTCCCTCTCTCTCTCTCTCTC